TGCAAATAGAGGACAAGCTAAGTAGAAAATTGCTGGTAGAAAGAAAGATATCAACACAGTAAAAGATACTTCAATAGATCATACAAAATATACTTGTTACACAGTGAGCATTTTGCTGTCATTCATTCAGCAAGTTGAGCAGCTAACACATTCATGAAGCCATACAGGAAGCAAAAACTGGAGTGCAAAAAATAATACAACTTCAAAATTCTAAATCCTCAAAGTGTAACATAGCAAGTGTTGCATTGGAAGCTAATTGATCTAGTGTCTTCTACTTAGTTATAGGCAAAAAAGACTTTATTCATCATGATTGAAACTGCATCAAAGGAGTTTTTTTAGGGCAGCTGCAGCCGCATCTTTGGTTCCTACTCTTTTTTCTGCTTTCTTGTTCGTGGTGTTGGGCTGCTCATCATGATTCTCGAATAGAGATCGCTTAGCGGGTGGAGACTGAGAGAACACAATTTTGTTGGAAGGTGTAACGCCTTCAGGAGAGATTTTATCCTTTCCCTTATCATTAGATGCCATGTCTGGAGCAGCAAATGTTTCAGATGAATCAAGCATGAATATTATTTCGTATTTGAAGTTTGAATAAGCAGTGCATTTTGTTGATGGTGAGCCAACAGCCATTGGAAGTGCTTTGATGTAAAAGATATGTTCATTGTCAATATCTATGCGAATGTCCTCATGATTAGACAGGGTAGTGTCCTACAAACACGATACAATTGATCAGCAACGAAATGGTAATGAATATATATTTTAGGAAAATTGAAATTGTCAGTGTTGAATATAATTAGTACATTGATATTCTTTTTCATGAGTACATTTGCAGGGCAGCCCAAGATTGTTTCAGCACATTCACCCATAACTGAAGCCTTTAGATTTCCTGTCGAGTCCTCCAAGATTACATCAGCTCTGGCTCTGTAGTATATGCAGATGTTAGCAAATCTGGAAATTTATGGAGGAAAATGACGTGATACGAACATTATTTTCAACTCTGAATCGAACAAAGGAAACGAAGGAGGTGAAATTATTGTTTAGTGTGTTGACGGATGAAATGTGTACCTTGGAGATGCAATTGAGCTGTTACATTTGCAAAATCTACAGGAATAGATTTCTCCTGCTTTGCTTGCATTGGAAACCCTGTTGCAGTTGTTGCATGACAAGTACCAGAAGCTTGTGTTCTTAGACTGAACGTGTGCCTTTGCTTTTATCCAGAAATACTTGTTCTTTGAAAGGACATGAAGGAAAGTTTAGTGGAGGTATGTGGTTATATTGATGTGAAAAAAATAATGAAATAAATTTGTAACATAAGAAATAAAACATTACCGTAACAATTGAAGATTGGATTTCCACAATTTGAGTAAATTTGTTTGCAGCTGGAGGTGACAACTTTGAAGGACTTAATAAATTATAGTCTTTCAGTGCAGTGATTTCATCCAATCTCACACTATTGTCGATGGCCCTTTACGACAAAAATTATAAGTACGAGATCAGAGAAAAGACCAAGTACTGGAGCTCATCTTAGATAACAGTAAGTTTGCGTGTGCTATTTTGTAACATAAACTTAAATTGTGATGTTTGCTTAGCAGAACGTGGTATGGAATGAGAAAAGGTAGCAAAATAAAAGTAATCTCTTCTACGAATGTTATTAACGGGATGGGAAAGTTAAAGATAAGCAAAACAAAACAAATATGATATATGAATGTCACTTACAGGATGAATAAGCTAATGTTCAACATTGGAAGTTACTTATGCAATATACAATAATGTATAGCTAAAGAAAGTGTAATGCTGGAGACATTTGATGACAGAGATTCTATATAATAATTCATACAGATGAAAGAAATTGTTTAGTTACCATGATTTCATCTCTTCCACTTCCTCAAATTTATGATCAATGAAGAAACAACTATGTGGTCTTGTGGATAGTGTCAGCCCTAAAAAAAAAAGTCCTTCCATTAGTAAACATTATGTATAGCAGGAAGATGGTAAGATACTTTAATTGCAGTGACAAAGCAATAGTTGAATTACCGTTGAATGAAGATACTTTTAAGTGGAGTCCTATGATAACTGGCTTCTTAGATATGTTCTGTGCAATTGTAGAGCATTCATTTTCAACAAAGGCATCCCACATTGTCAGTAGAATTGTTTGGAAGCTGAAAATTTGGAGAATCAATCACTATATAATATTGTTTTGTGTGAAATGTGCTGTGTAAAAAATGAATAAAGATGTTACTAACTTCTTGTCAATGAGCACGACATCCTGCACATATGTTTCCGAACCATCTCTTGTATGGATTAGACGTTTGGGGCGCAAGTCTATGGCAACTGCAAACACACCTGTAATAATAACAACAATAAATATAAATGTGTTAAGCAGAGATTTACGTTTTTGTGAGGGGAAAACTGACTTGTAAATGTATGTAATAAAAAAGAAATCTAGTGGCATTAAAAAATGAGAGAGAAAGTAAGCTGTACTTAAATCTTTGTTTGTATCCATCAGAGTTTCAAATTCCTGGAACGGAGTGAACTCAAAAGTGGAGAATAGCCGTGCACTGTGATCTACATTTGTTTCTTCCACTCGAGTAGTACCTGAAATCGTCCATTGAATGTCTCCATATGCATTTTTGTATCCTACTTTTGTATGTTTCACAGTTGCATTTGAAATTAAGTAGGTTTTTCCAATCCTGAGATCGTCTTTGAAGGCTGCAATACTATTGTCCCAGAGGGTAGCCTGTACCCTGTTTCCCTGCAGTAAATGATTTGTTTGTGAGATTTCTTTACTATATATATAGATATACAGATCAGTAGACAGCTATATTAACTCTAATAATTCAAAGACTGCAGATTTGGTGTAAGTTGTTTTCTAAATATGTATACAGAGTATTGTTGCCACCATAAAAAATAATAAATTTATTACCAAATGACAATGTGTACTAAAACTTACTTTTTCATCCATGAGAATCATGTGTTGGTATCTGGTCTGGCCATTTTGTGATAATTTTGGAGATGTTTTTTCAGCAACTACAACGTTGGACGCCCAGTTTCTTTGTCCGGGGCTAATGTCAGTGATAAGACTGAATTTTTGATCCATGATGTTACTCTATACAGGCAAAGAGTAGTCAGAAAAGATGTGGCTGGTAAGTGAATAAAAAATATATCTTACAGTGCACTTTTTTGGAACACATAGAAGTGTTTGTTTTTTAGCTAAAACAAATTAGATAAGTATGATATAGAATCTTTACATGGAATAGGATATGAAGAAAGACAACAGCATTTTCTAATTTTCTATTCTTTATTTATGTTTCTATAAGCTATAATTTCAGTAAAAAAAATAACTAAAGAGGTAAGTTGAGTTAAAGAAAAAAAAAATTATAAACTTGATATTTGAAATAGAACTATGAAGGAAGAAGACAAAAACTGTGTGTGGATGATTTCATAGTATGTTACAATCAAACTTAGTAGTTAGAATGATTTTTTTCCTTGAAATAAAAATAGAAGTGTTTTTCAGGTAAAACAAATAAGAGAAACATAGCCTTAAATCTTTATATAGAACTGGAAAAGAAATGAAGAAATACAACAGCAGTTTGTTCTCTTTTTCTTGTTTCTTTGTGTTTCTATAAGTTATTATAAATTAACTTAAGTAGAATGAAGATAGGAGAGAAAAAGAACTGATAAAAAAACAACTCAAGAACAATAATATGTTGAATTAAATAAGCAGAAAATTACATACCTGATTTTCGAAGCAATAACAAAACTCTGAAGAAGAAGATAGAAGCAATATTTTCTATGATGCGTGTTGTTAGCCTTATATAGTATGTAATAACCAAACTTTGAAGTTATAAGTATTATATAGTACCTGTTATCATACTGTTTTGTACCATAAAAAAGGAAGCAAAAATCAGTGGAAAAGATTATTATATATGTGTCAGACAGTACACTGACATCAGTGTACAGTATAAAGTAATGTATAGTGTGTCTACATGAAAGAGAAAGAAGTTTCTACAAACAGGGTGGCAGCTTAAAATAGGGAAGACTGAGAAAAGCATGGGCAGACAAGAATATATATTTATTTATTAGTAGTGTATGTAGTTTTAAAAGTAATACAAATTTAGATATTTTGTAAAGTAAATCAAACGTGATTGTTAGTATAGTTGGCTGGAGGAACCTTTATCAATTTTAACTATACTTGAACCTGTTTTAAAAAAGAAGAAAATATTAGAGTGCTAAATTAACAAAACCGAAAAATAAAATACTGGGAAAAAAATATGAACATGTAAACAAGCCCAACTACAGATATGTTTCAATTTTCACTCAATCATGTTATCACAATTTTTGAAATCGAATCTGATCATATGAGATTACGAACAATTGCCACATAATTGTACTTGGGCTTAAAAAATTTATTATTTATCTTTACAGAACACATATGCATACATTTATTTAAAAAAAATATATGGAAAAAAAATATTTTCGTGATGGAGCATGCCTGAAGATTCTTTTGATTGTACTTAGATTTTGCAGCAAGAACTGAATAAGAATTAGACCAAAAAATCAAAAGTGACAAGGCCAGTATGATGATCTTATGGTCCCTTTCCAGTAATAATAACTCTTATCAGATGCTGAACATGTGAAATCGGGGTGAAAAAATATAAATCAAGGTACAATAACCCACATATATTTCACATAAACGATGACAAAATATTAATGATAAATGTCAAATGTACGCAGTAACTTGTTCTGCAAAGTTAAATACAAATCAAAGGAAATCCCTTCGAAAAATTAGTACATTGAATTGTGGCTTTCCACGATGTAAAGATGCAGTCATTTAGCTAACATACCACACAATAAGTTATTTTATGAGCAATACCTGAGCAGTCTTCTTTGAAGTATCCATGCTCCACAGAAAGATAGTATCCTCATCAGCAGTAACTACCTTGTCATGCCTTCCAGTAGGCCACCACAATACACTGTAAAATAGCATGTGTTGATTGGGATTAGCGGTAAAGAAGTTCAAACAATGCGTTTTAAAATTTGTAAAATAGCATGCACTGAGATTCATTTGTTCGAAAAGGTATAAACGTAAATCACCAATTTCCAGTCAACCTTATTGAGTATGGAATAGCGAAATCATAAGCATAGAGCAGTAAGATATTCTACTTTATTCTTATCTTCAAATCAACCCTATAAATTACTGCATTTAACAATTATGTCTTGTTTTCAGCTTCAAGCTCACAGTTAAGCAATGAAAGGATAAACTCACCATTTAATCTTCGTACTGTGTGTATCCAGAGAAGTAATTCGTTCAAGTTCTGGGAAATTCTGGCGGCCATATAACTCGGGCTAAACAGGACACTTCTGTTTGGAGTAAGAAAGATGAGGGATCCTCATAGAACAAGTAGGATGGAAGATCTAATGGGAATAAGCAGGATGATGGGGTCAAAGTAATTGGTCTAGATGTGGAATAATACCTCAGGCTCAACTACTGGATGGGGTCAAAGTAATTGGTCTTGACGTGGAACAGATGATACTGGTGGAAAACAGGACAGTGCATGGAGCAGCAAAAGCAATTGGAATTGAGGAAATCACTTTCGAGGGAATGATGGTCAAAATGATACTGGTACATTGTGCAAAATAAATTGACAAATTTATAAATACTAAAATTTATAAACAGATAATCTCAAACCGATCTATAGATAGTAAATACATAAGACAC